GGAAGGAAGGAAGGAAGGAAGGAAGGAAGGAAGGAAGGAAGGAAGGAGAAAACACCTCCATGAAAGAAACATTCTAAACTGACCTCCAAATTTAGACAGAGAACACAGACCCTCCAAATTTAGACAGAGAACACAGACCCATCTAACTAGTCACCTGCATGATAATTATTTCCATAGCCTAAATGACCATAATATTCAAGTGTTTGTATAAAGCGTGACTGTTTCATATAGAACCTTCATGGATGTTGCATAGGACTTGGGTAAAGGGTTCTGAAACGAAATGATGTTTTTTCAAAGTAAGTTAGTGACTGTGTGCTGAAACAAGCGAGTTTTCCAGGAAAAGTGATTTAAGTGTAATATGGAGACCATTGCCGATGGCTTGTAGTTCTTCCTTGCACATTTCTACATCTTCCTTAACCAAATATAAAAGGAGTAATGCTGAGTGAAGAGAAAGCACAGCTGAGGGGATGGAGCATGTTCTGGTGTGGTGCGTGTGTGTGCATGTGCATGTGTGCATGCATGCATGTGTGTGCACGCATGTGTGTATGTGCATGTGTGTGCAGGTGCATGTGCACATGCATGTGCGCATGTGTGTATGCGTGCATGTGCATGCGTGCGCGTACATGCATGCATATGTGTGCGTGTGTGCATGTGTGCATTGTGTGTGTGTGCGTGTGTGTGTGCACGTGTGTGCGTGCATGTGTGTGTGCGTGCATGAGTGTGTGTGTGTGTGTGCCCCTGCCACTCTAACCCTCCACCCTCTCCCTGACGTCTGTCAAGCTTGGCTCACCAAGTTGTGACAAGTCTTAAAAGAGGAAGGCAACTGATGGCAGACCTAGGAGGAGCTGTGGCCTAAACCACCCTGCACACTTCAGTGTCAATGCACCCCAAGACTCCACGTTAGTAATCATCTCAGGACCTCCTGTGCCCATCTTGATAATGATCAGCTGTCCCAAACATGGAATGTGAGTCTTTCCTAGGAGACTTGAATAAGCACCTATTCACCCCAAATGGAGAGACCAAAGAATGGAATCCATTCTAGCCTTTGCTGGGAACCAATGGGCTTATTGCCACTAATTGTAGCAGGGTGACAACCTACATCACCAAAATGCCCACCCCATTATGAGTGACAGCTCACTAAGTCCCCACCCTTGGATCTCCCCGCCCTGCAGTTAGCTTCATTAAGTCTTCTCTCTTCAGATAGGGTTTACTACATTGGGGTGGGTATATTCATATGTGTGCAAATGTGTTTGCCCATGTGTACACACATCCGAGGTCAATGTCAGATGTCCTTCCTCTACTTTCTTGGGGTCTTGGGTGCCTGGCATCTTCACAGTGACCAGATTATTTGTAACTCCTCCCTGGGAGACATGAACACTTTTTTTGGATACATATTCTCTCACCAAACCTGGAGTCTGCTGTTTCAGCCAGACTAGGTGTCCAGTGAGCAACCATGTCTGCTGTCTCCACTCTGGGTTCTGTGGTTACAGAAGCAAACCACTGTGCTCAGCTTCTATGTGAGCTCTGGGCATTTGAAGTCATAGCCTCACGCCTGTCACACACTTAACGCACTGAGCCAGCTCCCCAGTTCCCTTGGTTACTACTTTTATAACCTTACAAAGGGGCAGAGGTTGCAGATCTTCTCATTTTCATGAACTTCCTGGGTTCTGTGGGTTTCAAGGCTCCTAGTGGCTCCCCCTTCCCTCCAGGAGGAAACTGCACAAAAGCAGAGGGAAAGCCGCAGGCTAGGAAGGAGAGAAGTAGAGAGGACTGCACACCAGCCACCAGCTCCGTCACATCCTCATACTTTGACATATTTGGTCTTTTCTAAGAAAGAAATCGTACAGATCTGATTAAACCCTCCTTGTGCTTCTTTCCAATCTCAGGCCACACACACACACACACCAGTCCGGGATCGTTCACTGCCCATGATGGTTAATACCTCTACACCCCTTGACTATCACTAAAACCATGCACAGTGTAGTCTCGCAGGTTTAAATGAATAAATGAACATTTTCTATCCCAGACTACCTACCTACCTCCTTGCTTATCTGTCCCTAGTATGTATGTATGTTAGGGTTCATTGTCTTAGTTTAATTTCTCACAAGATATAATTTTATCTTTTGTTTGTTTGTTTGTTTGCTTTTATATGTTGAGTACCATTAAACTGGAAGTACCCGTATCTTAAATGCCACTTGATGTTACCCCATCAGGTCTCCAAAGTCCTAGCGATTGACATCCCTAACAGCAGAACCTGAGAGGCCCTGGCACTGCACCCTAACTACCCCCACTCTCTGAGACAGGCAGATGTTAACTCTTTGCTACCCTGGGGACCGGTGATGATGCCACAACACGGCCCTTCTCATTTGCATCTCCCACATGGCTGATGAAGGTGAACATCTCTTTATATTTTTGGTCATCTTGGCCATTTGGGTTTCCTCTTTGGGGAATGATCTGTTGATATCTTTTGCCTGGTCTTAAATTTTAAATCAGTTTTATTTAAGGCTTTTCAACATCAACAACCCTAAAAAAAAAAAAAAAAAAGCAAAATCTCTCCAGGTCCCTAGCAAACAGCATTCTTATGAGAAAAATGTGAAATGATCATGAATCTGTATGTCATGCTTACACATGGATCATACTAAACTTCAATGTATAACTCCAATTTTAGTCTATATATTCCCTAAGCAAGCACTAATCAATTATTGATTGATTGATTGATTTCTTTAAGACAGGGTCTCACCGTGAAGTTTTGACTATCCTGGAACACACTCTATAGACCAGGCTGGTCTCGAACTCACAGAGATCTGCCTTCCTCTGCCTCCCAAGTGTAGGAATTAAAGGTGTGCACCACCACAGCCCGGCTCACTGCTCACTTTTTAACCTTGATTTTTAAATTTTGTGTCAGTCCATTCAATTCCCTCCTCCTGAAACATGTGCCTCCCTATTCCTGCATTCTACCAGAATGCTAGTTTCTCCATGGAACTAAGCCTCTAAATCACAGAGAACGACACACCTTTCTCGTGGCATTTCAGTGTCCTGCCTTGTCCTTCTCACTTCTCGTTTCGCACAAGGCCTCTTTGTAATTTACCAAAGCACCTGCTCCTTTCTGTATCGACCTTTATTGGGGCAACAGCCCTGTGAGGCAGAGTAGTATTGCCACCACCTTTGAATAGACAAAAATGGCGCATAAACCTTGGGGACTAGCTCACCCACAATCCCTCAGCTCAGAAGCAGGCCCGGCTTCGGAGCAAGAATTCCCCAATTCCATGCCCAGATCTTCTTTTTACATAAATGTGTTGCCCCAAAACCAGATTGCAGGTCCTCTTTCTCTTACTCACCTGTGTGCCCTAAGCCCGGAGTCGTACCCTATGCAAGGGAACAGAGGGTGAGTACATATTTCTTGACAAAGCACACTATTCCCCTTCTGCACGGCCATGGGCTGACAGGGGCTTTGCATACTGTGTCCCCTAACTTTCCCAACAGCTGAAGTGACACACTCAGGATCTCACACCCAGGGATGGGTGGCGCCTGCCTGTGAGCTGCAGAGACATGCTTCCTCCGCTGTCTCTGCCCCTGGAATCCTAAAGGTAGTGTTGGTCAGCCTAGAGGCTCTTGAGAGCATCCTGGAAAGAGGGGTGTTATCTCTGCTGAAAGTGACTAAATGCAGGTGCCTTTGAATTGGTCTTCCTAGACTGGAAGATCCTGTCTGATGGGATTGCTACCAACTTCCTTTCCAGGCTCAGCAAAAGGGAGACAGGTGCTCAGATAACTAGGTTCTGCTGTGGGTCAAAGACCCAGAATGAGGGTGGTAAGACAGCAGGAGCGGGAATACCAGGGGATGAGGGGGAATGAGGAAGGGTGGAAGAGGACTCCTGTTTCTCAAGCTAGGGGACAGAGGCAGATAGGAGCTTCAGGCTGCACTGCCAACATCCAAGGAGCAGAGGGACAATGTGGGCCACTAGACAATGAGCAGGGAAGGCTCCCATGAATGCACTCACTCCGCAGGGGTGTGTGCGGGCACCATGGTAGCAGGTGCAATGGGTACTTCCGACTGAAGGCAGGAATGTGGGTGAGGGGCGTCAGCCAGCACTCTCTCCAGCCCTGGTGCCAAGAGTGAGTCTGGATGAGAACACTCTGTCTTTTCTCCTGGAGGGAGACTCTATCGACTGAGACTTTATCAGATCTACAAGATCTATCCTAAGTGCTGTGTTTGTGCACGTGGTGTATGTGATTGTCTCTTTTGCATTGTATCTCTGCAGTGCGTGGGTGGCATGCCCGCGTGGGTCTTGTGGTTACTGTATCGGCGCTCTATCCTTGCTGACTTATGTGCCTTACACGTGGTTCCGCGGGAGCCTACGCTGAGAGGAGAGTGTCATTTTGAGTGTGTCTGATTCTCTGAGGCTTGCCCTGGTTTCCCGGAGGTGGAGTGGGATGTCTGTGCTGTAAGATCAAGGTGCTGGGCGACCTAGCCGGGGCCATCCAGGGTCCGGGTGTAACTCTGTGCGTGTGGTGTGTGCACGCCTGCCCAGCCGT